TTGGAACATGTTCATGCAAAATGAAGTGTCATGAAAATTTCTAATGAACGAAAGCAAAGCATTTTTAAAAATTACTACTTCGCTTAACTGATCAATGAAAAATGCTTTTGTTCAAGGTCAAATAAAACTAGAAGACAAAAAGAGAACTTATAACCAAAATCAAAATGCGCATGGGTCTAAAACTCGTGTATATACTTTACCGGATGAAAATGGTGGTGACCAAGTGGTATGTAAGAACTTTTTTAAAGACACAGTTTCCATTAAAGATGGAAAAATTTCATTAGCTTTAAGACGAACACAAGAACCTGGGACACCTCTTCAAGATGCAAGGGGCAAACATCCACCCCATAATAAAACCAATATTGACACAGTATTTATGTGGCTTTATTGAACTGTTCCCAGCATGGACAGGGACATGGTTTTGTTTAATGAGGTTGATTCAAGCAAGAAAACCAAAGGCCACCCATTATCATCTCCGCTGTAATGTACAACATAGCTGTTCTGTATCCAAATGGGAGAGCAATAACAAAAGAAAAGAAAAAGGATTTAATGGACTTACTTAAGTTTATTCCACCTGAGTTCCACAGCTTTTATTCTGGATTAAAAGATAGTTCCGATGCATTAGATGAGGGCTTAGAAGAAGCAATTATACATGAAAATAAAAAATACGCACTAGAATAAGTTTTTAGCTAATAAGAGGGAGATTTGTTTTCTGTTTATCTTAATTTTTGTTTTGGACAATTTACTTGTTTTAGTTTTTTGTTATGGCAAATGTGCCTAAACATAGCTTAACACACAAGTTTCTCTGAATATAGTTTTTTGTAACGGCAAATGTGCCTATACTTTTTGAACACAAAATTAGAATAATAAAACTTAGGTGCGATTTTTCCTAAAATGTTGTAAGACATTAGCTTTTCCTTAAAAAAATAAATAAAATGTTACAGTTTTTTATCATAAAAATTGTATTTTTCATTTAAAGTTAACTTTGACATGATTTATCACAAACTCCATGACTAAGTCACAAAACTCCATTTTGTGGCTTAGTCACCTTTGCCTCTGCCCTCTTGTTAGTGTAGTAACACCTCAGTGGGAGATTTAAATTAACATGTTTTTTTAATGTTCCAAACATTAGAATTCTAACAGCACGTTTTTATGGAAATTTTCATGTCCAGTCAATATATCATTTTTAGTTGTTTTATTTGGCTAATTAGTTTATAATCTGTTAATTGAAATTCTTGGAAAAAGAACCTACCTATATTTAAACAGACAAGAGAACTAAGTATACTTCTCATCCCATAGTTTTTTAGCCTTTATTGAAAGTTTATCAACCTAATTTTCTTTTATTCTATATTCTGACACTATTTTTAACTTTGGATACAATGCTTAATTGCAGCAATCCTGTAAGGTCGTTTTTCAGTATTTTGACCTTGGTGATATCTATTTTTAAATAATTGCTACTAAATCATACAAACTATCAGCTAAATCAAACTATAATTGACAAAATTTGTAATATTATAATAATAAAATGATTTATGTAATTTGGCAATAAATGTCTAAATATCTAAAATTATAACCGAAATTTATATTGCTTTACAATATTTTGCAGTCAAACATATTGAGTATTAAAAAGAGATTTGTAGTATCACCTAATTTTTTTTTGAGTTAGTTTAATATGCTTTTTTATTGTCTCCACGTCATCTAGATGTTTAATTTTGATATTAACTCTCAGAGGCTTGACTGCCAAATGGTTACTGTACCTCGTGGCCACAGGCCATGAAGTTAACTTCAAGCATAACCGAGAAGCGCTACTAGCTGACTTGACACTGGCAAGTGTCAAAATAATGGTTTTTGTGTGCTTTTTTTAGATGTATAGAATTGTAAGTTGATAACACTTTCTTAACTGTCGGCCATTGTGACATCTGTCAAGTGATGTTAAGTTTGGTTTGGAATTTCAGTATGAATAGACTTGACACCTGAACAACGCTTCCAAATTGTACAAATTTATTTTGAAAATTGTAATTCTGTTCGAAGTATGTATCGCGCACTACGGCCAGTTTATAGTCAACATAATAGTCTATCAGAGCAATAAATTCGATTAACCATGGAACGTTTTTGCACCACGTTTACTCTAAATGATAATATGGGTCCACGGACACGTCGTACAGTGCGTACAGAAGAAGGTGTTGCTGCGGTAGAGCGTAGTGTACAGGAAGACCCGAATCAGTCTATCGCTTAAGCTTAGAAATTACAAAACAGTAATTAGACCAGTGGTCACATATGGATGTGAAACGTGGACCCTCTCAACCACTGATGAAGATCAACTGAGAATATTTGAGCGCAAAATACTAAGGAAGATATTTGGACCAACCCAATGCAGCGTTGATTCGTGGAGAATTAAAATGAACTACGAGCTGGATGAACTAATTGTTAGATTGCGCAGATATTGTTAGATTTGTAAAGTCACAAATACTAAACTGGCTTGGTCACCTAGAAAGAATGTCAGATAATCGAGCTGTAAAAGTAGTCCAGAGATGGAAGACCCAAGGAAACAGAACAAGAGGAAGGCCCCGCAAAAGATGAATAGACGACGTATAGAGAGATCTTAAAACCATGAACATCAGGCAGTGGCGAAGGTAATTATCCGACAGGGCAGAATGGAATAACATTGTTAAGCAGGCCAAGACTAACAAAGGGTTTTTGCGCCATTAGAAGAAGAATGCAAAGTAATCTGTAGTAATTTGAAAATGGTTCAAATCCAGCGAAAATAATTTATCTTGTAATAATAAAAATGCGATTCTGTAAGCATTTTTCATTTCAGATACCGTATATTTATTAAGTTCACCTCCAACAATATTTTTTTACTAATTTATTTTATATCTATCAATATCTAATATTCAAATTATTTTTTTACCAACTTTTACCTTAACATCTACAAATTTAAATCGAATTTCTAAAGACTTGAGGAAGTGTTCTGATATCAAATAACTAGATTCTTTGGATTAATTATCTCTTCAAGGATTCGATTACTGCGTAATACGATCAAGAGAAGTCCTATCGGTTTTGGTTTAATAGAAGAAAAATACACCCTCCGTAATCTTCGATAATGATTAGGGAGTAGGGTGTGTATTACACACTTTCAACATAACTTTCTTTTCAATGTGTGATTAATCAATAATGTACTATTTTGGTAAAAAGAAATCAGGGCTTTAAGATCTAAATGGAATAATTTTTTTAATGAATACTTTACTTTATACACAATTGTTTTTAAAGAATGGAAGAAGGTAAGTAATAAGTAAAAGTAAAACAAATATTGTTGACGGTATGTGATAATTCGTTATTGTCACAAAAATATTCACTAAAATATTTATCTATTCATAATAATCCGGTCCATATTCGCTCCGTGCGTGACTGATGCGACACCTACCGCCTTCATCTGACAATTTGGGAATCCCAATTTTCAGGTTAAACTTATGACATATGTTTGACATTGTTAAATACATGCGAAATTGACAATTATTAATAAATTAGTTTTTTAGCTATATTTTAAAGTTTATGTACAAAATAAATGTAGTATTAAAAACTGGGTTTCTCAAAATTCATCATAATATACCTTTTCAACTCCAAACGGAAAAGAAAGGGAAAAATCTAGTACTGGCAAATCAAGTTTTTCACGCAAAAGAGCATATAATTAAAAAACAATAATAGTAAAAGTTAGGATATAAAAGCTAAAGTCATCTGCAGTTAGCTTGTAGCCTTATGAAATATCATTCAAGGTAAATTATTTAAATGTTTTCTATTTCAATTGCATAAAAATGAAACTATGTGATATTTACTTTTTCATATTAATAGCACGAATTCATCTTTTTCTTTTTTCTAATTTATATGTAATTTTTGGGAACCTATGAAAACTACAATCACCATTTTTGCTATTATTAGCACAATTAAATACGCAACGTGTATTTGCACGCATTTTGATAAAATTTATGCGTAAAAATATTTTGTCCAATATTCCCATTTTGTCATATTTCGCCGCTACGCACGCTGGCATCGTTTCAATGTATCCCTACCATGGTCACGCACGGAGCGAATAGACATTTGAAATAACAAAAATTGCCGGAAAGCCACATTTTGGCGGAGAGCTAGGGTATACCACAACAAATAAAGTTTTAAAAGTCCTCATCGATCGCATGTGTGCAACAAAAGTTATTCGGGATCAAAGGTCAAAATTTGAGATTTTTTGGATTTTTTCGAAAACGTTGTAGATCGTTGTAAAGTAAACGTAAAGAAACGTTGTAAGTTTTATAAAAAAAAAAAACTTAAACCAAAGTTGTAGATCATAAAATTCTCTACAAAAATAGTCCTTACGATTTTTTTCCTAAGAGTTGCCATTCCTGAGATATCGCGATTCTAAGAGTCACATTATACATGATAAGCACTCGTTTCCACACCACCTGTGCCTGTGAGGTAGTGTACTCGGCGCGTTTTTTATCGTGGTTTCCCCTGTAGCTTAAGGGTCTACCGCCTAAAATATTACCTTATTATTGATATTGATTATTGATATTGCTATTGATTATTAGGTTAACTACTATTGTTTTGATTTCTTTAGATATTTTAATCAGATTCATATTCTTGAAAGTCCACTTCAACAGTCAAGTCTTCTTCGATTTCATCTTCTTCCTCTTCCTCTTGCTGGATGTTCAAAAATTGTTTAAATGTGACTGAGTCATTGGTATCTTCATTAAAATCACAGGAGTCTTCACTGCTAAATGGACTACTAAACTGGACATTTGAGCAAGACTGACCTTGGCAAGTGGTACACGCTAGAGAACACAGCAACTCGACTTTTTTACATCCACATTTGGCACTACAACCTTTTTTGCAATTGCAAAAAATAGTGTTAAGGAGTTTTTCTGGATAGATGGGAGTAAGGTTTTAATCGGTTCCAGAGTATTATCTATTAATTTCCAACCCAGTTTCTGGATTCAGTTCATTGCCTAGCCATGTTTGAACTTGATAGTATACTCGATACAAATGTTGAAAAGAAGATGCTGATGTTGAAGGAAGACATGATAGTTGTACTTGTTTCTTGTTTCGCGTATTTTTTACAAAAGGTAAGTATCTGTATTTATCAAGACAACTAATTTTTTTTGGAGCTCCATAAACCGCAAGAAGAAAGCGAATTCCTTCCGTAATTATTGTTTGCGGTGTGGAATCAAGTTCTGTAAACAACTTTACAGCAGTCAGTCAAATCTGTAAAGTACTGAAGTTTTGCCCCTTCTATACAATTTTTTTTTCGAAGATGCCGTGCTTTCGTTTTCTCAGTTTCTTCATTGGCTTCATTGCCACAAAATAAACAGTATTTTTTAAAACAAAAATGTGCTTCACTTACTCGCGTTCTGGTATGAGGTGGACTTACTTTTGAAGTACTAGCCTTTTCCTTCTCACGTTGTCTTTTTACTGCAGCGATTAAAGTTTGCCAAATGTACGATTTTCTGCAATCCACGTGTATTGTAACAGATTTTTGAGTTCTTAAATATTCAATAAACTCATCACCTCTCGCGACACTAGCCTCGATTAAATTTGGCATTCCACGATCAACCACAACTGTTTTAGTTTCACTTAAAAGTTTATTGCAAATAAAGCAAAACTGAGACATTTTTAAAACTATAAAATTATACAACTAACGGTAATGGTACCAAATGGTAGACGCTTGTAATAAGTACTTATATTCACTTGAACTGAACCTTTAGCACTAAAAGAAATAGATAATCTGAACAAGAGAATACTGTAGCCATTGTTAAGAATAGACAATCTGTTCTTTTTTAAACAATGGTATAGCCAAATGTGTTTCAATGCCACGTGGATAGAGTAAATTCAGTTTGGGACTGATTATCTTTTAAAGAAATATTTTCAGAATAGTAATACCATATAAAAGAGACACAAATAGGCATTTATACTTGTCTTAAGTGCCTGATATGTATATACGTGGCTTCTATGTGCATATAATGTATAATGTAACTTTTAAAATCGCGATATCTCAGGCATGATAACTCTTAGGAAAATAATTGTAAGGACTATTTTAGTAGAGAATGTTAAGATCTACAACTTTGGTTTAAAGTTTTTTTTGATAAAACTTACCGTCTTCGAAAAAAATCGAAAAAATCTCAAATTTTGACCTTTGACCCTGAATAACTTTTGTTGCACACGTGGGATCGATGGGGACTTTTAAAACTTTATTTGTTATGGTAAACTCTAGCTATCTACCAAAATTTGGCTTTCCGGCAATTTTTCTTATTTGCCAACTATTTTGATGTCTTAAGTTAACCGGATTATAAGATTGAAGTATTTTATATTAAACAGATTTGCAATAATCTTGTAATCCTGTGTGCAACACTAGCGCTAAGAAAGTAAACATTTCTTCGAATATAACAGGTTTTCATCGTTTAACTCTGGGCTTCTCGGTAGGTAATTCCTTCCTAATATTTTTAGGAAATTTACTAGTTCATTATCAACAATAAATCTTAAAATGTAGGTAGGTTCCTTATTGTCTAAAATTGTTTGTACAAGTTGCTTTTTTTAGTCAACTGGAACTTTTTCATTTCCCCTGGTATATCGGACAACTGCAAAATACCTTCAATAACATCATTTGTAACCTTCGACCCTTGAATGGATATATCATCAATTTCATCTATAACATTTTTTTTTGTAACAAGGTACCATAAAAATCAATTACCTATATTACCTTCGGCATCATCTGTATGCTCTTCCGAATTAGATTCATCTCAACCCCGCAGTTTCGACCACTTATATCAAAATCTGGATAATCATCATCATCGTCGGAATTCTGCAATATGTTGAGGCTTACATGAGAGCCATGCGCAGTTAAAGATGTGATGACACGTATAGTGCCTCTACAATTCGCTTATATGTATTTCGTCCTTTTGGGACACATAAGAGCGCCTCAATAAGACGCCTTAAACATAAAAATTAAATCCTTTCCGTCAATGAAAGTAATAATAAAATAACGCCTAATGAATAATAATAATGAATACGCCTATGGCGACATTTCACAATAAAGCAAAAAGTAACAATTTGAAGATTTCTACATGTTACAAACCAAAATTTAGATTACGATGAACACAATGTACAAAGCAAACAGACGATGAATAAACCGATATGGGGAATCTAAAATGGCATTCCACATATCGATTCATCTAAGTAATAACCGTTTATAAACTGGCTTCTAATACTCAAAATACGAGTAAATCTTCTTCCTCCTTCAAGTGCCATCTCCGCGGCGGAGGTCGGCAATCATCATAGCTATTCAGACTTTTGAGACGACTGCTCTGAAAAGTCCGTTTGATGTACATCCGGACCACTCTCTCAGGTTGCACAGCCATGATATTCTACGCCTGCCTATGCTTCTCTTTCCTTGAATATTTCCCTGTTTTAATTGTATTTAAATGTATATATTTTTTAGTTGTATTTAAAATTTCTACTTCTTTATCCATCCTTTCAGAACCTCTTTGTTTGTGGCGTGTTCTGTCTACGATATTCTCAGAATTCTCCTATACACCCACAGCTCGAATGATTCCAGTTTTTTCATTGATATCGCATTCAAAGTCCAAGATTCCATTTCATAAAATAAAGTCGAAAAAATATAGCATCTCGCCAACCTAACTCTTAGTTACAATTTTAAATCGTAACTAAGAGTTAGGAAAGTAGACTAGAAGACTAATGAGTCCTGAAAGGAATAAATAATAAAATTTCTTTATTCAAATTTAAAAAGTTAGTAAATCTTCGCGGTAGTCTACAATTATTGTAACTACTACTAATCCACTTTTTTTTATGACTCTAACACTAAATTGTTGTGGAAGTTCTACTTTAAATAATTAAATATCGCATTTGTGAGACTTTCCAATTCCTCATCAACTTTTTGACATTGTTTTATTGCTTTTATTTTTTTCTTTTTTGTGTTTACATATTTTTAACAACTTGTAAAATAAGACGAATAACTTTTTGTTTGCCTGTATTATATTTTGACTTTTACACACTAACGGGTAATTTTTTTATATTGGTAGTTAATTTTTTTACTTTATTGTATGGTTTTGCTAAATACCGATGCTTGCCAGATATTTCTTTATTTAACTATAATATTTTTTTTATTAAAAACTCATCTTTCTTTACGATTACAATGTTTAAAGACAGTTAATTGAACGGTAAAATTAATGTCCACTTAATTTTTTTGTATTTAGTCGTGTTCCTAATTTATAATACTGAACTGACATTTTAATCAATATATTAAAAATATTGATGTCAATTTTAATGTGAAATTGACAGCGATTTTGAAATTGTTGTTAGACTTAAGTAATCGATATATCCAGATCTTGATTGTCCTATTTTAAATATAAAGTTTACGACTAAAATTTATGTAAATTTTGTATTATAATATTTATAATATCACTGTAATTAATTTACTATGTGATGGTAATAACAATTTTTCCTCTTTTTTCAGTCACACAATGACGAAGACGTGAGCGACGGAGAAGGTGGCCATTCGGGAGGCGAACACGATGATTTAGATAGTTGTGATGAAATGCGGCGACACGGAGGACTTCTAGCAGAACACGGCGATGTCCTCGCAAAGCTTAAAATGCAGGTGCGGGACATCAAGGTAGGGGTAAGCAGTTTATTTGTAATTATGTACATCAGCCCAAGATAGTAAAGACGTGAGTTCTAGATGCGTAGTTACAAAATTTGAAAAAAAAAAAAATAAAAAGCATGATTCTCTCTGAATTCACAGAACAGTTACAGGAATATAATTTACCTGTCACTTTTGTGCAGTATATATGCGAATACAAGTTTCTATAAAACTATTATACATTATTATATTATCTTAATTTATCGAGACAAAGACAAAATAAAATCATTATATTACTTAATGAAATTTAATATTTGTATTCGTTGTGGAATTTGGTGGATCAGGTAATTTGTTTAGTGTACATTTTATAGATATTTATATCAGAAAAGCAGTAAGTTAAAAAATATTGGAATAAAATAATAAACAATTCGGTCCAAGACAGAAGTTTTTTCATTTTCCGATTGCCTTTGACTATCCCTTTCTTCAACGGACTTTGTTAACCTTGCGGTGCACGGGTTGGTCTGTCGGGCCGATTCAGTTTTCAATACAATCCATTTTAATATGTCTGAAGATATTTCTTGGGCATTAAATAATACATTAACGAATAAGCCACAATTAAAGATAAAAATACGTTTATTGACGTTCAATTCCACTTCGGAAATCGTCTATCAGCGAATCTAAGTACGGTCCTGACGGTCTAGATCTTTCGATGATTCGACGGCATGGCATGGCCATCTAAATCCTCAGTTACTAATGCGTATTGAAGCGATAGTGTCGATGTTATATCTGTTATCGTTCTCTCAGACCCAACCCGTTTCTTAATGTAAGTATTTTTTTTATAAAAGTACAAAACAAAATTTGCAGTTCATTGTTTTTAGAGCATAGCAAAACAATCTATTCTTACGAGGGAGAGGTAAAACGTTTGCAATGTCTCTACGAGGAAGTTGCAACCGACGAAGAAGAAAATTATGAAGATTCAGATTCCGATGAGGCTATTGTTGGAAAATTAGAAAATGAAGATGGTAATCATAACTCAGAGTCTGAATTCGATTTATCAGACACCGAACTAAACTTACTAGAGTATTCCACAAGGTGGGTCAAACCAACACCTTTATTACAATACCAAAGATGGAATGAAATGGAATAAGACATGCGGATCACGAAAGGTTAGAACTAGACGAGAAAATATCATCACAAAACTTCCTGGAGTTATTCGTGAAGCGAAAAGTTGCACAACTAAAAAGAAATGCTGGAAACTACTAATGTATATATCGAGCGTGTGTCTGTGGAAATAAAGACAGTTCCGATGCGAGGCTAACAAATATATGTGAACTAAAAGCTCTGATTGACCTGCTTTACTTAGCTGGAGTTTACCGTGGAGGTAGAACTTCAATTTTTGAGTTTTGGGAAAAAATGGTTCGGCATTGACATATTTCCGGCAACGATGCTCATCGCAGATTTAGATTTCTTATGAAGTGCTTACGCCTAGATGATATTCGTACAAGGGACGAACGGAAACAAGTACACAAACTTGCAGCAGTTAGAGTAGTATTCGAGGATGTAGTTGAAAATTTTCAAAAATATACCATTGGAAAATATCTTACTATCGATGAGATGCTTTTAGGCTTTAGAGGTCGCTGTAGTTTTAGAATATACCTTCCAAACAAACCGGACTGATATGGTCTGAAGGTATATTCTTTGGTGGATTCTCGAACTTTCTATACTTATCAATTAGAAATCTATGCCGGTACACAACCACCAGGTCCATATTCTATCAGTTCTGCAGCCTACGATGTTGCTGAGCGGCTTTGCAAACCAATTTCCAAATCCAACCGGAATGTCACAATGGATCATTGGTTTACATCAATTGAAATCACAAAACTTACTGACAAATCATAGTCTAACAAATGTAGGCACTCTACGGAAAAACAAAAGGCATATCCCAACCAAATTTTTATTGGGCAATAGACCGTCAAAAATAACTATGTTTGGATTTACCAAAGATATGACGATGTTGTCCTATATACCAAAACCAAACAAACATGTTGATCTTTTGTCAACCCTACACATGATGACCAAATCGATCGACAACGGGTGACGAAAGTAAACCTGAAGTAATAACGTTCTATAACTCTACGAAAGGTGGTGTGGACACGGTTGATCAACTTCGAGGTTCCTATACTGTCGCAAGAAATATAAAACGTTGGCCCATGGTCATCTTTTATGGATTGCTTGATGTTGCTGCAATACTGCATTTGTGATACAGAGAACTAATAAACTGTATCTAAAAACAAGCAAAAGAAGAAGATTTTTTTAAAGAACTAGGTCTTCAGTTAGTAATGGACAATATAAAAGAAAGAGCTCAGTGCTGCTAAACTCAGTGGTGTTGGACCAGTACAAGCACCTGCGGAATTGCAAAATAAAAGGGGCGTGGTGCTTTTTGTAGAAATCGTAAACCTCGATACATGTGTCAATATTGTAAAAAAATTATTTCCTTGGAACATACCGTACCTGTTTGTCGCATATGCATTGATAAAATGACTGAATAAGTTATATACAAGGTGGTTTTTAAACATCGGCCATATTGTAGTACGTAATTTCTTTTATATTTTTAGTTTTAGTATTATAATAGAAGTTCATTTTATTTTAATGTATGTAAGTTGTCTTTAGTAGTAGTTCTTACGTGTATCAAAGTATCACACGTGTACCGAAGGGTTTATTGCAAGCTAAAAGTCCATAGCAAAGAACATTTGTGAATAAAACAGGTATAACAAACTATTGGAAAAGACTTAAACAATATTCTGCATTTGCTAAAGACGAGCATCTCCGACTCTTAATTACTTTTCTATCATTTATGCATCTCGCTGCTCTTTCGCTATCTTCGGCTAGTGTAATTAACTATAATTATTATTTTTTTATCTCTAATTTAACTGAGCCGCTATCGTGATTCGGAGGACACGTAAAGCCGTCGTTCCCTGCTACGTAAGTAGTCATTAACACTACAACCTGGCTGTAACAAACGAAACAAACAAAATTAACATACCACAATTTTTTACAAACAATTGTGAGATAAAGATTACTTTTATTGCCTTAAAAAGGAATAATTCCCGAGAGTTGGCTGTATACCATTTAGTTAAAAAAAACTCGAAAATATCAAAGGAAAACACTTCTATTGTAAGTGGTATATTTAATTAAAATTAAATTTAAAAATCCAAATGGATTAAAAGTTCGGCTTGTTTTCGGATTAGTCAGCTCATCTTCAGTGAACTTTTGTAGTACCTACTTTCGTAAATAACCGCAAAACCGAACAGTAGATGTCTTTACATTGATGAAACCATACTTAAAGGTAATAATTGATATGGCAGTATGCCGAATAAATTGAAAATGAAAAAAATATTCATCCAAACTATCAGGATTCTGTCGGGAGTTGGTTTCCTTAAAAAAATTATTTAAAATTTAAACAAACTACCCTTGGTCAATCCTATTATAATATGTATATAATAATCCTATTCTTTGTTTGAAGAAAGAAAATCGTTTAAAGCATTGAATCATAACATGCCAAGACAAAGGTTTTATAGTAAGAGTGGAAGATATACAAGACTCGGTTAAAGATTTTCTTGACGCAAATTCACGTGACACTCCTTTTACTGACAATCGGAGCCGAAGAGTTTGGTATAAATCTTTTAGCGATACCCAGATTTAAGTGGGAGAACTCCAGAACGGTAGGAACTCAAGAACTCCTAACTTACTGCTGTTACCTGTGCCGCAACGGCAGCAAGTTCAGTGGTGTCTGAAAACGATATATAAAAAGTGGTTCACTGGTGTCAAGAATACAAGAATACTTGTATCTTAAAGGTTACATTGATATTCTTCAAGACTTCTTCAAAAATAAACTAGTGTTTGGTTGTAAAGGGAAGAAAAATGTATATCAAATGGAGCACCACTCCGAAGTTAACTTGACGATTATGTTTACTTTTGCAGTACCTGGAGATAGGGATGGCTGGAACAGGATTTTTCAACAACTGTTAAAACCTGTTTCAGTTCCAAAAATTATCTGTTTCAAAAAAACTGCTTCAGTTCCAAACTGTTCCAAGTCTAACACTGTGTTATGGGTTGTTTCAGTATCGGTTCGGTTTGTTCCAGAAAGGTTGTTGCATTAACAATAGACCATTGTATTTGTGGTTGTATATTTTGAAAGTTTGAAGTTTTGTCGCGAGTCGACAATTCACAGTTTACAATCATGGTTTATTCGCATGCACATACTTTTCACTCCACTGGAACTGCAACAACCATATAAAAGCACAGCAATGCAACACCGGACTCTGAAGTAATTGTAAACACACTGGTCTGTTGTGTGATAAAAAACTGTTATATTGGAACAGGAAAACTTATTGATCAATATCTGTTCCAACCTGTTCCAAATAAAAACCTGTTTGGAAAAGAACAGATCCTGTTCCAAAGTGGCATCTCTACCTGGAGAAATAACAGCACCAATGATTATTTACCCTTATAAACGAATTCCTGGCAATCTTCTAGATTCCGTTCCACGAGAATGGGGCATAGGATGTAGCGATACGGGATGGATGAAGAATGAAAACTTCTATGAATATATAGGAAAAGGATATATCCATTCAAATCAGTGAAGTGTGTTCAAAATTACAAATCATTTTAGTCGCATTATATCCCAATGCGACCAGAATTATACAACTTACAGATATTGCTGCATTTAAACCATTAAAGGCAAATTGGAACCGGGCAGTATTAAAGTTTAGACGCGAAAACCCGAATTCAGTAGTTACCAAAGAGAATTTTGTATTGATACTAACACAGCCATTAGTCAATTAAAACCAATTTCATAATTAATGGTTTTAAAGCATCTGGATTACATGTATCCATGTAATCCTGACGCAATAGACTATTCCAAATGTTTAGGAAAGATCAAAGACCCGCATAAAGGTATTAATCACACTATTTGTATGATAAAATCAATAACATGAAGATTTTGTACACACAGTTGGAGCCGCAAAAATATTAGAATT